GTGTACAAGGAAATAATTTTAGTTAGAATTTTACACAGGCAAACCGGGGAATCTCCAGACTGCTACATAGCCCTTACCCAGAATGGACTGTGCAAGCAGTCCTTCGGTCTATGTGAGGACTTTCCGTCGCTTGCCAGCCTTCTGCGAGACCAGGTAGTGAAATGTGATGTAGCTGCTAAGGGAAATCCATGCGATCGGACCCTAGCGGGCTCCCACCCGTGTCCTCCCTACGTTGTCGAAACGGTACAATACCGCTGTGGGGGACAGTAAAGTTCACGTAGGTGGTTGAGCAGGAAGTTCGTTCCATTTCCAGCTGACGTGCGGGGATCCAACGATAAGTGAAACCGTGGTGCAACCAACCGGCGGTGCATATGGAAAGCAAAATAAAAAAGCAGCGTAAATGTATAGCAATACACAAAAGAGTGCAAAGCGAAAAACATGCAAAGCTGCTTTTGTGTTTTAAAAAGGTTTTGCTCTTCTTTGGTAGTTCAAAACGTTTGATCGTTTTTGTGGATATTCGTAAACTCTTAGTAAGAGCAGAAAATTTCAGAGGCACTTTCTATTTAAAATAGTGAGTGTTAACGAAGTCCGAATAAGGAACTGGTGGTTTGAGCTTCCTACCACATCGATTGATAGTAGGACGCATCGGAGTGCTGTCAGTTGAGGTTGTCGGTTCTGTGGGAGCGAACTGACTCGTCTGAGGTTGCGGGGCGAGCTGTGATGGCACAGGCTGTGAAGGTGCTTGCTGCACCGAAGAGTCGAACTTGTCGAGGAATGCTTGCTTGAGTCGATCGATGTTGATCGTCTCAGCCTTACCATTGTAGTCAATGGCAAACGCCTTGTCGCTTCTGCGTACGATACGGTAAGGACGAGAATAAGGAGGTTGAAGTGGCCGACGTACGCTATCAGTGCGAACGAACACGTGCGTGCAAGTAGTTAAGCTTTCGTCCAGGTTGGTACGCAAGCTCTGTGCTCTGGGTTGCACAGGCTGAAGCTGTCGCATGTGATGAGATACGCGAGCTGCGTAGTCGCCATAGTCGAAGGTTGTTGGCGCTTTTGGCGAGACGCGTTCGCCAGGTAAGCGTTTTGCGCATCCAAAGACTAGTGAGGATGGAGTGGCGTGCAAATCCGCTTTAATCGTGTTTCTTATACCTAAGAGAACGAGCGGAAGTGCTTCGTGCCAGAATGTGCTGGATTGGGCACAGAGTGATGCTTTGAGTTGCCGGTGGAACCTTTCTGCCATCCCATTAGCTGCGGGATGGTGTGCGGTGGTTCGGTATTGTTGGCAACCAAGAACGTAGAGCAGTTTGCTGAAGGATCCGTCAAAGTGTGATCATCTGTCAGTGATGACTACGCTTGGGCACCTGAATTGAGCTATTCAGCGTTCTAGGAAAGCTTGCGCAACTGTCTCAGATGAGCAGTTGACTATCGGAATCGCCTCTGGCCAACGGGTGAATCGGTCGGCACAAGTGAGGAGGTGCACGTAGCCTTTGCATGGAGGCTAAGGTCCGACCAAGTCGACATGGACGTGTGCAAAACGAGAGTCAGGAGCGGAAAGACACCAAGTGGACTTTTGGTGTGTCTGTACTGTTATAATCTCCTCACTAGACGCAACTCAAAAACAATTCACTGCTCCACAGAACTTCATGCCCAACCGAAGTAAGAAAGAAAAACGCCAGTGACCTTGACAAAATAACGTATTAATCGCCGCCAACGAACACTGTACAACGACTGCGGAACTTGGCTGTATTCATAGGTCTCTACTGACCTTCGACTTCTAGAATTGGAAGGTCAGCTACCGAGGTTAGTGGTTCCTCATGTCTTTTGCCGAGGGGTCAGGTGGATTTTAATCATGTGAGAAGCAGAACATTCGGAATCGATCGAAATCGTTAATAATCGATTAATCGCTAAAATAGGGAATTTCCAAGGCAATTCTTACTTTCTCCCGGACACCTCCCCTCCTGAGATATCGTCCGATGTATAAGACGAAGGCCTAGGATTAAGTTGCAGCCTTCGGGACGGTGTTCTCTGCCTGTCGATCCACCTCATTGGCAGAAACGCCCGAGAACTTTGTTCCGATGATCTTGTTCTGGATTCTTTGCTCGACTCTGTGCAGTCGTCCACTACTACCTTCGGTAGGTTGAAGCTTTCCACCAGTAAATCGAACGGGAGGCCAGTAGGCCTTGCTTGTTCTGGTTGGCACGATGTGGGCCATAACTAGTTTGCATGCCGTGGCCAGATCTGTGTGCCCACCATCACGTCATATATGACGTTTCCGCGCTTGCGTTTGACCGTCGCTGGCGTCCATTTCGCATGGCCTTCCCGGTAGTCATGCACTAGCACCTTCTGTCCAAGCGTAAAAGATCGCTTCTTTGCTCCACGCCGCCGGTTAAAATCCTGTTCCATGCTGCGGTTTCTTTTACCAACAGAAGATTCCGAGCGCGGTCGGGTGGCGTCGGAAGGCGTGCGAAGCTTCCGGTTCATCGTGGCCTGTGCTGGAGAGACTTCGTCTGGCGCTTGTGGTTTCGATGTTGATCGGTAGAGGAAAATGAACCGGTCAACCACCTCCTCTATACGTCCCTCCCTTTTGATCTGTGGAGAGCTCGCTTGAATGTATCGATAAACCTTTCTGCCAGGCCATTCGACTGTGGGTGAAACGGCGGCGAGTGAACGTGCTGTACGGCGCATTGCTTGCAAAACTCCGTAAACGTTGCTGAAGTAAATGTTGAGCCATTATCAGTGACAATTGTCTCAGGAACGCCGAATATGCTAAAGGTTTGACGCAGTTTCGATATGGTGGCGTTGGTGGTTGTGTTCTCCATAAGAAATACTTCAGGCCACCCTCTGTATGAATCGACTATAATGAGGAAGCTTCGGCCTTTGATCGGTCCCGCAAAGTCAACATTAATGCGACACCATGGGTTAGTGACTTTTGGCCATGAATAGAGTACTGATTTTTGTGGCGCTTTCAAGACATTGACACACATTTGGCAGCGTTTGGCTATCTCTTCTAGCTGTTTGTCCATTATGGTCCAGTGTACATAACTGTGGGCAAGCGCCTTCATCCGGTTGATTCCAGGACGCCCGGCGTGAAACTGCCGAATAAGACGCTCCTAAAGTGCCTTGGGGATGACCACTCTTTCCGAAAATAGTACGAAGTCGTTTACAATAGAGAGCGAGTGCCTCCTCTGAAAGTACTGTTTCAATTCGGCAGATGGACATTAACGTGACCAACTTGTTTTGTGCAACTGTGTAACCTTCTTGAGTATTGGGTCCCGAAGCGTTTCGGTACGTACAACTTCTGCGGTGACTGGTAGACCGTGCAATGCATCAGTTACCAGAAAGTTGACATCAATTTCAATCTCGACCGAGTCAATGAGCATGTCCTCATGTTCTTGCGGGCGGCCATCAATTAGGCGTGACTGTGCATCCGCTTAGCCAATGGAAACTGTCGACTGGTATTGGATCTCGAAACCATACCTCATTAACCCAAGAGCCCAACATTGTAGCCCGTTGGCTGTGTAGGCCGGAATGCTTTTTTCGAACCAAAGATGGCCAGCAAGGGCTTGTGATCTGTCAGAAGCTTGAAGCGGCGGCCGTATAGCATTTTGTGGAATTTCTTGACTGCGTACACTATGACCAATGCTTCTTTCTCAACCTGGCTGTACTTCTGCTTGGCCTTCGTAAGTGTTCTTGCGGCATGGGCGATTGCCTTCTGAGGTCCATCGGCGTAGGTGTGTGATATTACTGCACCAAACCCATGGTTTGATGCATCTGTGGCCAAGACAATCTCTTTGGAGGAATCAAAATGAGTCAAAAGCAAGTTTGAGGATAGCAGTGACTTGACCCGTTCGAAGGCATTCTGGCATTCTAATGTCCAGTTCCATGTTTGGCCTTTGGCTAGTAGCTTGTTTAACGGGGCACGCAGGCGGTGCATCTCAGGCAAGAATGCGCTATAATGGCTGACCAGCCCACAAAAGGAACGCAAGGACTGTAGATCTGTTAGTGGAGGCATTTTTCTAATGGCCTCTATGTTTTCCGGGTCTGGTTGACGTCCATCCTTTTCCAGGATAAAACCGAGGTACTTGATGATCGGCTTGAAAAATGTGCATTTATCCTCACGGATCCGGAAACCGTACGACTGTATACAACCAAGCACTTCATCCAGTCGGTTAAACAGTTCTTCCGGTGTTCGACTAATCACTATGATATCATCCAGATATGCAGCGGTTCCGGAAACGCCCGCCAGCATGGTATCCACCAACCGTTGGAATATGGCTAGCGCCGTTTTCACACCAAATGGCAAGCGGTTGTATTGAAATAGCCCACGATGAGTGTTGGTCATCAACAGCTCCCTCGAGGCTTCGTCAACATCCACTTTAAGATAAGCATCGGATAGATCAAGCTTAGCAAAGTACTCACCACCATTCAGCTTTGCAAAGGTATCTTCCGGTACAGGTAATGGGTACTGGTGGTCGTCCAGTGCGGCGTTCAGGCCAGTTGAGAAGTCAGCGCAGACGCGTACCTTGCCATTTGCTTTCTTCACTGCGAGAACAGGTGCGGCCCATGATGAGTAGTTGACGGCTGTGATGACTCCGGCACGTACCAGTCGATCGATTTCTTGTTCAACGGTTGACATGGCTGCGTATGGTACCGGTCTTTTACCCTTGAACACTGGTTTGGCGCCTGGTCGCAAGTTCAGTGTCGTCTTGAATTTTGTACAATGGCCCAAGCCATCCTGAAAGACAGAGGCAAATTTTCGCTTCAGTGTACGTGTCACGTCTTCAACGGACTTTGTTGATGGGTCTGGACTTGCTCAAACTCGGTTGCAGATCTGGTTCAAGGGAACATAGAAGAGTTGCAAATTTTCAACCCAGTCGAGGCCAAGGAGATTCAAATTCGGCCGGTCTGAAATGTAGTATGTACCCGACCTTTCCACACCTTGGAAAGCAATCTTGAAATTGAGTTCGCCCACTAGGTTTACCACTACCGGATGTATTATGTGCAACTTTATGAGACTTGACTATCTTCGGCCTATTTATGTGATTCCATGTGCGCCTGGAAATAATCGTGATGTCCGAGGCCGTGTGAGATTGCAATTTCGTTGGGATCCTATTGATCAACACACTGATAAATCGTCGCCTCGTTTTACACTCGCTTTGGAATGCAGCAACTATGGACAGAGACTCGGCGCCATACATCCTATAATTCCGCTTTCGACAAGACTTCTGCACTTTCTTCGACCGGACCTGACTGCAGAATTCCTCTTTATGCCCACGCTTATGACACGTTTGACAAATATGATGTTTGAAGGGACAAAAGCGGGCGAAATGCCATTCGCCGCATAACCAGCATGCTGTGGGCGGTTTGTTCGTAGGCCTCTTGAAGGGTTTGCTTCGGTTGACGATCCTGGCCTTTTTCACGAGTTGCACGGTATCTGGTGGTGCGAGACCATTTCGTTCGGTCATGGCAGTGTTGTGTTTTAGAGTGAGCGGCCGTTTGCATTCGCTTACGTGGGCCTTCAGTGTCAGGTCAGGATCCTGTTCCAGCTTAGCTAAAAGCCACGTTAGGATATCAGCATCACTGGGCGATTGTAGAGCGCTGACGAAAATGAGACACTGAAACTGATCTTCCGTTCAAGAGCGTAGTTTGAAACGTTCACACTCACGGTTAATCATGTCTGCTAGGGCCCAACGTTGTCCGATTCCCGTTTGACAATTTTCAGACCTTGATAGCGAATACTAAACAAGGATACTGACTCACCAAAAATTTCCTTCAGCTGCGACACTACTTCATCAAACGTCAGATCCTTCGACTGTTTGGGCAAAATGTGGTCTATGAACCTTGAATGTTCACTTATTCCGAGCTTGCGGAGTAGCAATGGCACCTTCCATGAGTCGTCCTGACGAATGAATTCCGTCTGGAACATGTCTTCCCAACGCTTGAACCACGCTTCAAAGGTGCATCCAGAATCCGCATCATAATTGAATTCAGTGATGGCGTTCGTGAGAAGATCAACAGAACTCGCCTGCATGTCCCGCGCCGCTGCTCCTGTTGTCTGCAAACTCAAACATTGTGTCAGATTATCAATCATTTTCATTTGTGCCTTCATTTGAACTTGCTGTTGAAAAAGCAGCTTTTGAAATTGTTCAGCAAAAAAATTCATCACGTTTCCAATTTTCTCCATCGCGATTTGTTATAAACTCACTAGACGCAAATCCAAAATTAACAATTCACTGCTCCACAGAACTTTAGCTCAACCGGTCCAGATGGCTACCGACCACCAAGATGAAGCAGTTTCGGACGTCGTATCCAAACCTACGCTGATCGACGCCGAATTGCTGGTTCAAGGGTCACTTCGAGTTAAGCGAAGAAGAGCCAGGAAACCTCGTAAGCTCTCTGCTTAACAAGAAGTTGTTGTCTCGGCACCGGAAACAAGCTAAGTGTCGTTACTTGGCAAACCGTCTGACGGTTGTGCGAAGGCGAAGATCCCAACACGCACTACTTGTCAGCCGAAGTTGCCGGAAATCTTGGTTCTCACCGAGAAGACATATTCTGAAGGTGTGCTTGATTCTGCTCAAAGCGAAAAAGCCTCACGGGACCCTGCTCCTGTTATCAAGAAGAAAAAGCAGACAAAGTCTGCTATAAAGCGTTCCGATGAAATCGATGACCCTAACAAAAGTAAGACATCGACAATGGAACGAAAAACATACGCTGCCGTTGCTACATCATCGGAGGGGCTAAAGACAGTTCCATCACCAGTAGTGAAGCCACCTGCTCCGAGTGCCGAATCAAAGACCCGTGGGGTTAATACACCCCGTCGTGGCGATTCTTTCACGGATAGTAGCGTTATATTCCATAACGCGGCTGAATCTACTGCTGTCCTTCCTGCTGATCGCATGTTGGACGACCTTCAATGGTTTATAAAATGTGCGTAACGAAGCTTCTTCCGCCTGGTTTTCCAAGCGTTACTGTCAGGAAGCTGATTAGACTGGGGAACGTCCCAGTTAACGTACCAAACCCGCGACCGCGGCTACTTCGTGTGGTACTCTCCACCCCGGAGAAACGCAATGCTCTCATGCGGTTTGCGTTTAAGCTGAAAGATACAAATATTAGCGTTCAGCCGGACCTTCCGCTAGCCGATAGGCTGAAGCTAAGGGAGGCCATCAAGGACCACAAAACTAGGCGAGCGGCCGGTGAACAAGGTCTCCGGTTAGTGGGTTTTCGGGTGGTCAGCCGGCGGTCCTTTTCCTCCCTACCACTGCCCATTCTGGTAGCGCACGACCCAGGTCTGGATCTAACGAAAAACTTCAGGTAGTGCTAAGTAATGTGCGCAGCCTAAGGAATAAGGTGTACGAGTTAGGTCTGCTTGTAGATGGGTCTCATCCCGATATACTCGCATTCACTGAAACGTGGCTGTCTCAGGACATCACGGATGGTGAAGTACATCTATCTGGCTACGCATTATTTAGATGCGATCGCTCTGCTGGCCGACAGGGAGGGGGCGTCGCTCTTTATGTGAGCTGTAAACTTGACGTTTTGAAGACTTGCTTATTTCAGTCGACAGACAAAACTGTTGAAGCTCTATCGGCTGTTATTAGCACATCCTCGGCTCAGGTTACAGTTGTAATTGTGTATAGAAGCCCTGGGAGCGTATCCAAAGAGGTACTTGAATTCATTCGCTCCCAGTCCGCAAATAAGTGTTTGGTGATGGGCGACTTAAACCTCCCAGAGATTTGCTGAGCAGATCTTTCTTGCGACTCAGCGTCAGGCACATTCGGCGCTGATCTGCTTGAACTTACGCTCCATGTATCTTTGCACCAGTTCATTGACCTCCCCACTAGGTACATGGACGCCCAAGTACCGTCTGTCTTAGATCTTGTATTCGCTAAGTCACTCGATTTTGTTTATGACATTGCTTACGGATCTCCACTGGGTTCCAGTGATCAAGTTTGTTTGCTCTTCAGTTGTACTCTGTCTAGACGCTACCAGAGTACTGTTGAGTCTCGCCTGAACATATGGCAAGCAGACTATCAATCAATGAGAGCCAAAGCTTCTGGTTTCCATTGTGAGATCTCAGACGACGATACTGTCGAGGTTGCCTGGGATAAATTTAAGTCTTACCTCACAGAGGTCTCTGCTCCCTTCATCCCAGTCAGAAGGAAAAAGGAGGCCCGAGCACAGCCGCCCTGGATAGATCCCACTGGCAGGCATCTGCTCACAAAGAGGTCTAGATGTTGGCGGACTTACCGAGATGCTCCGTCCACCGATACTTATGACAGGTACCGTAAGGCTAGAAATAGGTGTAAGCAACACCTAAGGAATGCTCGGCTCAATTTTGTAAAAGGGTTAGCGGACGAAGCTTCAGAGAATCCAAAAAGATTCTTCGCTTATGTCAAAAGGCGCTGCGCTTCGAACATGTCAATTCCAGTGTTGATGCGTGATGACGGTACTCATGCGCATACGGATTATGACAAGGCCTGCGTACTCAGTGGGCAATATGCGGCAGCGTTTGTAAGGGAAACCTCTTTGACAGGCGTTGAGCTGGTTTGCAGGACCCCAGAGGGTTCAGAACTATCTGAATTTATTGTAGCGGAGACTGCAGTTCGTAGGCTGTTACAAGGGCCTGATTCAATTCACCCGAAACTGTTGCATGAGTTGGCTGCGGAACTAAGTGGACCGCTCGCTATTATGTTTCAGAAATCGCTTGCCAGTTGTGCATTGCCTTCCGAATGGAAGGAAGCTGTCATCTGTCCCATCTTCAAACATGGGGACAGGGGTCTGCCTGCAAATTACATGCCAGTTAGTCTGACGAGTGTAGTAGTCAAACTTCTCGAGAAACTGGTGATTCATTGGAGAGTCATCTGAGTAGATTTAATCTACTTAGCAATGTACAACACGGATTCCGGAAGGGGTTTTCTTGTCTGACGAATCTGTTGGTGGCTCGCGAAAATTGGGCGGATGCAGTGGATAACGGCCACACACTGGACGTGCTTTTCGTCGACTTTTCGAAGGCATTTTACAAGGTACCCCATTTGAGGCTCGCGCAAAAGCTGTCCTCCTACGGGGTATCTGGCCGCGCCCTTCATTGGGTGACTGCCTTCTTGGAGAGTAGAGAACAGTGTGTACGGGTAGGTCGGGGCCTATCATTTAGGCAGTCTGTCCTCAGCGGCGTGCCGCAGGGCTCGGTCCTTGGACCGCTGTTGTTCTCTATCTATGTGAATGACCTACCCGCGGAGCTTGAGGTACCATCGCTGCTATTTGCTGATGACCTCATGCTGTGGAACATTGTTGATGTTCCTGGGGGTTCCGAAGCTATTCAGCGAGCATTGGATAAGCTTTGGGACCGGTCTACTTTATGGTTACTGCCCATAAATCAGGCAAAGTGCTCCGTTCTTCGAATTGGAGGAGGTTGTCCTCCTGCAAAGTACTTGGTCGGTGGGGTCGAACTCCCCCGTGTATCTAGCCAGGTTGACCTAGGCGTCGTACACTCTTCGGCTTTACACTCCGGCGACAACTGGAAGAAGGCCGCAAGCAGAGGTTTCCGCATGTTGTGGTTAATCCGACGTTCTTTCGGAGTCTTGACGGGCGGCATCTTTACGAGGCTGTTCTCGGCTTTCGTTCAGCCTCATCTGGAATACTGCGTCCAGGCTTGTCCGCCCTGCCTTGTCCGGAACAAAATGGAGCTAGGGAGGGTTTTACGAGTGGGTAATAGGTTAGTCGAGGGATTACGGGGACGGACGTACCCCGAGCGTCTACTTAGTTTGGGAATGCATTCAATGCACTACCGAAGGCTTAGAGGAGACCTAATCCTAACCTACCGTATCTTGACTGGGAAGGTTGGTCCAGATTTATCTTGGCTATTCAGTCCCGCTAGATTGTCTGTTCTATGCGGTCATTCGTTGAAGCTGGACAAACGGCTGTCGGATCAGATTAGGGCGGAAATCCGGCTGTCACGCAGAGTCATCGACCGCTGGAACATACTTCCGGAAAGTATTATCAGGAAATCTACGGTTAAGGGGTTTGAGCGGCAACTTGACGCTCATGGGTGGCAACACGAAACCTTTCCATTTTCCTGAGTAACTCGCATCTTCGTACTTCGATTTTCTTTTCTCTACTTTTCTTCACATATTGGTATTATTTTCTTATTTAAGTGCACTTCCCTATTCTGTACCTTCGATTTCTCTTCCTATCCTTTGCTTACTTCACGTGACTGCCACAGCAGGGACTGCTAGGGCAGGAAACGTGGGCATTAACTGGTTGACCAGGGTGCGATACGGGTGTTTCCGTTTTAGATCCATCAATAACTGTGCACGTCATCAATTCCTGGCTCAACGATCCA